GTCTCGAACAACAAGCATCGAGGCGTCGGTTTGTCGTCGTTCTCGGCCTCTCGGGGCCCTCGCCGGGCCTCGGGACCGTCACAACGATTCGGGGTGAAAACCGTGTCCCGAACAAGTCGAGACGTCGGATGTTTGGCCAGAGCGCGCCCCAGGAGAGGTCTTCGGAGTGGCGGTTGTATCGGTATCTGGTTGGGCCCCCAGTCAGTGAGGGATAGGCTCTGGCGACCGCGAGGGCGTGGATATGGATACGCTCGTCGCTCGCGAGGCCATCCCTCGTTGCCACGGCCGCGTTGCCTGTGAAGTCCTGGGCAGAGCGCGCCCCAGGAGTGGTCCACGGAGTGGCGGTGGCATCGGCACCTCTTCGGGCCCCCGGTCAGGGAGGGACGAGCTCGGGCGGGGGCTGCATCGACCCCCCAATCGCGCGCACTTGTCGCCGACGGGTGCCCGGTAGCCCACCCCGCCCTGGAACGTGCTGTTTCGCAACCGGGAGCTGATGGCCTGGAGATCGGCGATGTATCGCGGATTTCCAGGTCGGTGTCGCCCCCCCCCCCCCCTCCAGAGCCAGTCTCTCTTATCTTTTCCCGAAGCTGACCCGCCGCACGGGCCCTTGCAGCTGGGACTCCTCTTGGGCAGACGCCCTGCTCCGTCCCCTTCGTTCTCCTCGCCCTCCTCTTCGGCCACCGCGGGCTCAAGATCAGCTCAGGATGGCTCCCACTGGACCCTTTTTAAATCACAAGCCCTCAAACGTTACCATCTCGAGGCGTGAGAGGACACATGCTACCAGAGGTTGCTAAGCAGAGCAGCGCCATCCTGGTAAACTGAGGCAGCGGAAGAGGTATTTCATGCCGCTGTGCAGTGTGTGTGTGTGTGTGTGTGTATCTCGTCAGCGCTGAGGAGTAGCCGCGCAATCGGGGTGCTAGCCTAACTGGCAGCGACATGTGCGACTTTTTCGCTAGAGCTCTTGTCGGGATCTCACTCGATATCACTATCCTCCAGCCCAGTTTTCCCGTCATGGTCATCTCTGCAGGCATCGGGCCAAACGACCTTCATTGTTGTTCGGCCGCCAGGGATCTCATCTTACACGACATCTCGACCAGTACCTGGCGGTCTTCGCGTGGGCACCGCAGCGGGCGGGCAAGCGGCAAGCGGCCAGGTTCAGAGGCCAACGGTGTTGTTCTCAAGGCGCCTCGAAGCAGGAGGCAAGCAGCGCGGCGAGCGTGACGACCCAGGATCTTATCGAGCTGGGCACGAAACTGGCGCTCGGCCTGGCGCGCGAAACAGCGGAGATGACACCTGCCGTGTGCGATTTGTTGGAGGCGGCTCTCCAATGCCCTCTGGCGGATGCCGACCGCGACGCAGGCATGGAATACCCCGTGGACGCGAGTGAGCTGCGAGAGACGATCACCAACTGCATGGTCGACACTGCATCGTTGGTTCGGCCAGGGCTGTGGCAAGGGTTGCGGTGTGTGTGTGTGTATATGAGTGTGTGTGTGTGTGTGTGTTTGTTTGTTTGTTTGTTTGTTTGTTTGTTTGTTTTTTGTTTGTTTTTTGTTTTTTGTTTGTTTGTTTGTTTCTTTGTTTGTGTGTGTGTGTAAGTGTGTGTCCCCGCTTGTCTTGTCCTTGGGACTGCCGCCCCGCCCCCGTCCGGATGGAGGCCCCTGCCCCGCCGTTGCATCCCCTGCCCCGGCAGGGACGGACCGCCGGCCGTCTGCAGGATGATGTCGAGCAGGCCCTGCCTGTGGCCTGGCTGCCCGGCCCTTCCCAGTTCGGGGGGCTGGCCGGCCTTCGCCGCCGCCCGGGCCCGGCCGCCCCCCATGTTCACCAGGTTTTGAGGCCAGCCTGCGGTCCTCGTGCCGGCTTCGCCCCGGCAGCCCAGGGCACCCGGGCCGCCCGCCTTCCCGGCGCCTCGCAGGTCCACGGAGCTCGGCGCTTCTTCTCGCTTAGCCTGCTGGGCCCTTCCCAGCTACCCTCCGGCCCCTCGCCTGAAGTGGTCTTCTCCGGCTGCTCTGTCGCTGAAGGTCGGCTCGATCTCGGCGCTCAGCCGCCTGTGCTGCCCATCCCCAGCAGTGTCTGGGCCTGATTCCCCCCCGCCCGCCTCGCGCGGTCGCCCCTGGCTGCTGCCCGCCCCCGGCTGCCCCGCGGCTGCCGCCCCGCCGCCCCGGCGCTGCCCCGCCGCGGCCTGGCCCCGCTCTGAGCGGGCCCCGCCTCCGTCTCCCTCTCGCCGGCGCCGGGCCTTCCCTCTTCCTCCTCACGCGCATCGCTGGTTAACTACCCATTGTATGCCTTACGTGTGCCCCGTCCGCCAGCGCAGTCACTCTGCCTAGCCGCCGACGCAAACTGTGTGTGTGTGTGTGTCTTTGACGCGCCCGCAGGAGCTGCCAATCCTTTCAATTTAGGAATCGACGACGTAGCGGGCAGAAGAAAGGGGAGAGGAAGGGGGCAGGGGAAGGGAGCATGGCAGGGGGGAGGGGAGGGGATGGGATCAAGGGGGGGAAGAGTA